ATCTGGAACAGTGATTGTCTTGCACCAAATCCTAATCAGGCCATATTTTCTGAGTTTCACATCATATTCCTCATAATGCTCATTTGCCAGTCAATCGAATCATACCTTAGTATGGAAATCAAACACCCATTTCTATTGACGACACAAATTACATTGGCTTATCCAATTTACGAGTTGGCTCACAGAGCCTTTGATTTCCTTAGGGAAGCCTTACATAGGTACAATTTTACTTAAAACAGTTATCCCAGTGTAAAAAATATCAACAAAATCTCTTGATACAGGTTTTAGTTACTGCAGTGTGCACCTTCCTTTATGGTTCTTCTACATAAATTTGTGAAAGCAGCACAAAAAAAAAATAATTCTATTCAACATTGGTTTTAACAAAAGGGGAATAACTCCTGAAAGAATTCTAAATTGTTTCAGTTTCGAAATTTTTCTATCAACATGAGTGCGTAGTGATGCCACGCGACGGGTGTGTGTAGTCCCTTTGGCTGACAGACGGGGTCCTCGACAGTACGCTAGTGAAACAAGGTGGACTTTCCTAAATGTTAAGAGATCCCAAATCACAAAACCATTGTCAGCCATGACTGTATCCCCCTCCTTAAGCAAGTTCAGCAGTCCACTTTGCCTAACAATTTCTTTATCACTGATGGGTCCTGTACATAATGGTGAAGTGAAAGATTCGACATCATTTGGTGTTATTCCGATCAATAATTTCGCGGTATTCCAGTGTTTATTATTACTCCATGTGATCTTTTGGCTTGAAGGAACTGTTGGTTTTTGCATAGAGAGTTCAAGACAGTCAATAATTACTCTTACATATTAAGTTTTTTTAACCTTTCTGGAAGCCTTTTTTGTAATTCTGATATTGATGGTCATGGAACTAGAAAGGACAGCTCTTGAGAAAAAAGTGTTATCCATGCATTGTAAATTCTGGACACTTTAGATGACTTAATGCCAAGTGTCAGCTAGGACTTTGACATCGAAATTCCTTTTCTTGTTCTCACTAGTGTTAGAACAAAATTAATTGTTACTGCTTCGTCAACACTATATCATATTCACTCTTTTTTATTTTTATTATTGGTGTCTCGGTTACTCGTTTTTTAAACACGAAGGCCCGCTATTAAAAGAGAGGTGCCTTAAGTACCTCTGGACCATTTGTCAATCAACCGTCGTGCGATTTAGAACTCTAAGAGTCAAGTCAGCTTGAGCTATAGCTAATCCAAAGCAGTGAACAGCGGGCGCATTCCTCAAAACTTTTTTATGTTTTCATCACAATACAAGTATTTTTGAGATTTGTATTTCCTTTCTCTAATGGAAACTGTCTTTATTTGTGGCGGTAAATTTGAAATCGAAGTAGGTGGTTCGCTGCACGTTACATCATTGCCACCATGCTGGTGGAAGTAAACATCTGATTAGCTCCTTTTGTTCGTCTACCAGGCACCTAAGGGACCTCTCCTTTTATAGCGCGCCTTCCTGTTTAAATGAATTTTTGGTGCTCTTACTATCCCTCCAGAGACATTTTTTAGTGGCCTTTGTGTATAAAAATTCAAGTACTAAATCAAGCTTAGACCCAGTTGCACCTGTATAACGATAACAGTCTTTAGGACAAGTTGTCTGGTCTGTGAAATATTTTCTCTTCCCTTCCACTTGACTTATACTTTCTTTCTGTGTAGCTGTGTCAAAAAGAAAACTAGCGTCCGTATCAGCAGAGACTGCCAAGGCTGCACAATCGAAGTCAGTGCTCTCTTGTAATATAGACTCGTCCTCCCGGCAGAAGGGGCTCATTTTCAACTGCGTCACTACTTCACTTTCTCTTCCTCGATTTTCTGGCCTTGATTTGTGTAGATCCGATCTTTGGGGGAGGTCTTTTAGATTTACTTACAATCGTACCTTTTCTTGCACAGTGTTATTGAAGGACATTCAGCCGTTCTATAACCCTGTGCAAAAGGAGTTGAACAGACTTTCGTACTCATGGTAACCTTGAATTGATCACGATTAATAGCTGTGGCCCACGACAAACATCTTATTCTTGAGCGAGTAGAATCTTTTGCCTTTCTGGGTACCTTCGATCGTTGCCACAACTGTAAGTTCTTTATTGGGTAATTTCCTCTGATTTCTACCTAACTTTGGAATATTTCGAGGCCATTACGAGATGTCGATTTTCACAAAAAACCGTACGCAACGAGAGAACTTTATCGGTACATTTTATCACATCTTTGACGGTTATTTCAACAAGAACTTATTCATCCCCCGTATAAACATTGCTCTCGTCCTTTTCTGATAAAACGGCTGCAAAAAGGCGCTGTATTCTCTAAAAAATCGTTTATTTTTTTTTTTGTACGTAGAAACAACTTTCCGCCATGTATTTCTTTTTAGCAACTTGCAATGTTTGTCCCGTGGCGATCCCAGAACCACTTGCGCATATTAGTGGGATACGGTTACTGGCAACTCATTCATTAGAGCAGCAGTCGTCCAAGTAGCAGGCTCAAGGGTCTTGTTGAAGAGAAGTATAAGGCACTTGCTTCCAATTGAGGTGAGATCAAGAGTGGACTCGTTAACAGCACCTCAAGGCCCAGAGAATCCAGTAACTAATGTCTGCAGACCTCGACGAAGACCTGCATAACATAGAGAACTGTAACGAAGAATAAGAGACAGAGAAAAAATTTTCTTTAAATGCGAAAAGATGGTAGCTTCCACTGCGAAATGGATTTTTCTCGTCGCTCGAAAAAGATTCAACGCGTGAAACTGAAGCAATGCAATGCAACAGTACGTTTGTAGGGTAATTTTCAGTGACCACTAGGACAGCTTCGTGTTCAACTCGCGTTGTACGTTACGGAGAGCTTGAAACATGAGCTGGTTAGAAAGTATTCGATCACATTCAAGGCAAACATTTTAGTGCACGATCAAACAGATAACATTTTATTCAATTTACTTCTTTACAAAAGGTTAATTTCTGCGCGATTTAAAGCGAATTGGAAGAAGGTTCTCTTTTTTTAACACTTGAAATGTTCTTAGAATATGATAATACATTTTCTTTTTTGCCGTTACTCAAGACTTGAACGCGACAATCTGTAAAACAAGCGTATTATTTCAAACGTATCTACAATAGTGAATCATGGCAAGGCAAGTGTCGTGTAAAAGCGAATGACCCACGTATCGCGCGCACTCTAAAGTTGTGGTTAGGCCATATTTACGCGCTCCTTATTCCTTTAATACGTAGACGTGCCAAAACCACATTGAAGGCAAAGTTCAAATGAAACTAAAATTTCACTTGACCATAGGCTAGCTGGCTTTCTCAGCACCGCTTTTTATAACCTTCGATCAGGCGTTTTTTTATTTTCAGTCCGCAACCGCAAGCCTTTCGCATTCGAAAACCGCCTGATCGCAAGTTACGCCTCTTCATGAAAGTATTTTCTAAATTTTTCTATTTTCTATTTTCAATTTTCATATGAGAATTCGCTGCTACTAACCATGTGCAAACGAATTTGCTAAGAGCGTGGCTATTGTAAATTATTGCTATTGTTCACTTTATTTCACCTTGGGATTTACTTTACGCATTCAACCGTTTCATTGATAGCTGCTGAAATCTGCAAAGAGACTCGTGTATTCTTAAAGCTCTATCAGCTGACCAATCACAACCGACTAATAATAATAATAATAATGGTAATAATTTTAATAATAATAATAATAATAATAATAATGGGACTAGCCTCTAGGGTTTTTTTTTTAGAAATTTTTTTTTTTTTTATCATTTTGTTTTAGTTTTTCTTTTTTTAATGGGGGTACATATGTAAATTCTAAACATGTTAGCTTGCCACGTCCTAGACGCCCAGCTTTCGTGTATATAGGTTCTGGCATCCAGATGTTTTAACTGCCACATAATTTATTATTTATATTGCGCAAATTAACATGTGGATATGATCAAATGCGCATCGCAACACTTTTCGGGAGACTTTGGCCGAACTGCATCAGCAATTTACAAACAATCGAAGGAAACTTTATTTGAAGATGCCCCCTCCCCCCCAATTCCCGGTAAACAAGCCAGACCACATCACAGTAATCTCGTGAGTGGGTTCTTTAAAGTCCCCTGCCTAGCCAAATTAACTAATTAATAGATGCAGGAGGTGACGGGACTAGTTCAAGATGTGAAAATTATTACGCTGCCCGCTGATCAATGGGCACTGCAAGTACATGTCGCAAAAGGCAATAGCATTCTAGGCGATACATATATCTTATTAACCAAGCGCGAGCAAGCTTGGTTAATAAGAGATTTATTATACGGCTGAAGTTCAAAGGGACACAAGTGCGGTATCATTCGGGACTATTTGGGACAGTGCCCGGTCCAATACTTAAAGAATATTGGACCGGCAGTAGAGCCTTTTGACTGGTTGATTTTAGTTACTGGCCCTCTGACTACCCGAGTCGTGTAATAATAGCACGTAATCCCTCTGGTGCGCATACTTAAAGTCACGCTCGGTGGACTATTTAACAATTATTCCACTCGCGCTTGTTGGATATGAGATGATAGATAGCCAACAAGGCGCGTAGCGCCGAGTTGGCTATAATCATCACATAT